GCGCAGGAACCAGGAGCCGGCCCCCATTGGGCAATTATTAATCAGATTCTTGACATTCCTCCGCCCCAGGTTGGCTTGGGAAACATGCTCCCTGAAGGAGGAGGAGGAGCCGAGGCCCAGGACTGGCATTTGGACATGCAGCTGACGGGCAAGGTGGTGCTGTCCGCGGCCACCCTGCTCCTGCTGACCGCAGCCTACCGGCGCAGGAACCAGGAGCCGGCCCCCATTGGGCAATTATTAATCAGATTCTTGACATTCCTCCGCCCCAGGTTGGCTTGGGAAACATGCTCCCTGAAGGAGGAGGAGGAGCCGAGGCCCAGGACTGGCATTTGGACATGCAGCTGACGGGCAAGGTGGTGCTGTCCGCGGCCACCCTGCTCCTGCTGACCGCAGCCTACCGGCTGTACAAGTCGAGGCCTGCCCGAGCCCCGCTGTGGGGCAGGAGCACCAAGGCCAAGGCCGAGGAGGAGACAGAAGGCTCCGGGCAGCCGGAAGCCCAGGGGGCTGCTCCCGGGGCACCCCATCGGGGCCTGAGATGCCGGAGCGGAAACAAGGGGCCTGGAGTACCGTTGGGCGGCAGCTGGGAGAATCCGGGGGGCTCCCAGGTCCTGGGAACCCCTTCCAGCAACTTGGAAGCCAGAGAGACTTGGAAGCCCGAGAGGAAAGGAGCTGGTGAGGACGGGGGTGGGCGGTGCCTGGAGTCCGGCCTGGCACCTCCTCGCTGCAGTGGCCAGGACGCTGGAACAGCTGCTGGCGGTAAGCCCGAACTGCCCCACTGCCCCCCTCTGGGCAGTGAACCCAAAAGCTCCCCAGCTGTCCTGGCTGCGGTGGACGGAGGCAGTGTCGGGGGTGGGCCAGCTCCGTGGCAGGACGGTGGGCTCCCCGAGCAGCCAGGGGCTGGGGAGCAGGCATCCCCCCTCCAGCCCTGGATGGCCCACTGGGAAGGCAAGACTGACATGAGCCAGAGCTGGGTCTTCACCCATGTGCTGGGGGCCTGCAGGGAAGAGGTGGGAGCCCTCCAGGCCGCCTCCAACATGGGCCTGGCCCTGCATCAGCAGGAGGGGGCCACCAATGCCTCCTACACCTTCTCCTCGGTGGCCCGGGTTCGAGTAGAGGCGAGTCTCCTACAGGAGAAGGTGGCGGGGATGCGGCCCAGGCTGCAGGGCAAGGTGTACGAGTACTACGTGGAATCTACATCCCAGGCCACCTCCAGAGGTAGGGTGCCCCCCAGGACCGCGGCCCTGGCGAAGGCGCCACCTCCTCTGCCAGGACCCCTGGGGACAGGGACATT